TATTGTTCTGGAGTCGCCACGGTCAAAAGTAAGTCTTGCTATTGCATAAATCACGTATAATTTACTCCAAGGTCTGTGCCGCTTGGGTTTCTGGAGTTGGGGCCACAGTTAATTATGATTCAAGGCAAGTTGTCTGCATTACCCTCATTGCCTATTTTTAATAGGGGTGCCTGACAACTCTCCTTCCAGTTCCACCTGCATCCCTCGGCCTCTAGCCAGCACTTCTCTGCTGACAGTCGTGGCTGGTAACAAGAACCTCACCCTGTTTCTTCAATCGCAAGGCCCTCCACTGCGCTCTACCACCGCTCTGCTGTCGTCACTGCCACCCGGGCTTCTCCATCCTTTGAGATAAGTTTTTGCCTTATCGCTTGAAAAGGAGGGCAGTAGATATTATGTGCAGAATTCCGAGAATATAAAGGCTAGAGGTAGATCCCTTTGTCAGTCAGACCCTGGTAAGTGGCTAGGACCTCCTATCATGCTGACCCTGGTAAGAAAAAGGCAGCTGTTGCCCAGTTGAAGGAAAATATTGCTGATATGGCTGCACTATAGATGTAACACAGACAGTGGGAAGGATAAGATTATCTGGGAGTTGCTTGGCAGGTGGGGCTCTGAAGTGTTTTCCCTTATCACCACTGCTGACTTGTACATTCCTTCACCCTTATCCCACTTCCAACCTAGCCTTTGTACACTAACAACTCCTATTGTAAGCCTACTCCTTACATTGTCTGTCTATTCCTCTGTATTATGGTTATATGTTCAAATGGGTTGGACTGCAACTGCACTCTCAAGCTACAACCTGAACCCTACAAACTTCTGGCTTCTACTGCCCAGTCGCTACTAGCTATATACCCCTGGCCTCCACCTTTCACTTCAGCTGGAATAGACCTCTCCTAAAGAAAAAACTTTCATTCACAATTCACAACAAAGCATTGTATAATGAATGTTGGGATAGTTTTGTACTTGCGCATGTGCCCGCTAGTCTCTCACGCAAGAATTGCGCAAAATTGCAAACTACGTCACGACCATCCCCCTTCCCCCACAATGCACTGTGAGTGTGTGTGTGATCAAATCTTCAAGTCACAAATATGCAGTGCATAAATTTCCACCCACGCGTGTGTGAACCCTAATGCGTGCAGCCCCTCGCTTCCCGCTCTGCACTGCGAAAAGGGTGGGGCTGAGCATGTGCCAAAAAAGTAAGTGGAACAAGTGGAAAAATCATTTCTTCAAAATGAAGGGGGATGTAGGGATGGTGTAAATTATGAAAAAGGATACCAACAAGAAAGATGCTTCGGCTGAAAACAAAAATCATACATCCATCCCTACATCTTTCTTTAACCTCCCCTCACTAACCTATGAGACAGGGTTCAGAGGTGAAGTCGCGGAGAGGGATGGGACAACCTCAACTGTGATTTGTTATGAATTAGTATACCCTACACCAAAACTGAGTGCCTACATTCTTCGACAGAGCTGAAGAAAGAAAGATGTAGGGATGGATGTATGATTTTTGTTTTCAGCCGAAGCATCTTTCTTGTTGGTATCCTTTTTCATAATTTACACCATCCCTACATCCCCCTTCATTTTGAAGAAATGATTTTTCCACTTGTTATTATTATGATGACACGGAAATCGCGAAATCGCGTAAGTGCGAATTCTCTGGTGGGGAACTGAGGGCACGTAGGACGTCTTGGGGCATATGTATAGCTAGGTATTGGCCTCTAGACTATTGCTAGTGATTTTGAAGCCATGGTGAGTCATTCTCGCTGAATTTTGAGGCGTTTTGTACGCGGATCACGTGAGATTTCACTCGTGTCATCCCTATATAGAGCGTCTACCGACGCTCTGATAAGGACATTTAGAACATATTTGAAGGAAAACCGGCAAGAGTTGTATATTAAGGGTTGGCCCACTCTCACTCTGACCCCTTCAATCAACCTATGTATCCAACCACTCCATGAAGCTCTAACCAACAAAATTACTGACCAACTCACAGTGTGTATCATAACCAAGTTGTCTGCAAACTACATGAGCATCAACATCCTCTGCGTCATCGTCAGCGATGGTACCCCATACTCCATTGAAGTATATCTCCACTCTGCCCTCCCAGCTATAGGATCCTCCCACCAGACGAATATCTCCATGCTTGTAGTCGGCACCTATATTATACAGAACAAGTATTCAATATTCGGCACTCTATACCCTTAACTTATTTGGCAAAAGTGTATAATTATTGTTTATTATTTGACTTTCAGTCCCATTCTTTTAGCTTTGTACACAGGCATTCAAAAAACCGACTCCCAATAAACTATTGTGCATGCATGTTTGTCTCAGACTTTTTGTATATACCTTAGTCGAGTTTCAATCCATGACTCCAGTGAACTACAACTTATTATAAGGGTAAAGATGTTGCATGACTCCACACGAAAGAGTGAAAGGTTGGAAGTACTAGTCTAGGGCTGGTGCTGTGTGCAAGGCATTATTTTGTGTGTGTAACTATAATTATATGACATGTAGAGACCAGTAACTTGCTGGAGGCCTTAAACATGGATTTCTCAGGGAAAGTGGCCAGTGGAACAGACATTGACTGCTGCTTAAAATTTGTGTTTTTAAAGAACATAAACTGGGCTGATTCAACATAGCTTGTGCCACCTCTACACATTACTGTATGATATTTGTGTCTTAAAAAGATTAACTCTAAACACGCACCAAAAACGTTTTTTTAAAAGCCATGCCACATGGAATATCTTATTCATTGGTAATTGCATCAACTGTAACCTTTTCCACATTTGACTCCCACGTCATTCTGATGGTTTGAAGAGGACCCCATAGACAGGGAACATTGCGTAACATTATCTTCAGATCCAGAGCAGGTGACTGAGGTTATCCTAATGATACCACTGCCTTGACCATAAGGGGATGGCACTGAACCTGGAGGACACACACTGACAAATAAGTTTGGTTTTAACATTTCGGCTTACCTTCCGAAGGTAGTTGAAGCTGTTTACACACAACCTTAGCTTCTGACATACCCCAGTCGGTCTCACTGATAGTTCCCCATGTTCCATTCCAGAATATCTCCACTCTACCCTCCCAGTTGTGAGGTCCTCCCACCAGACGAATGTCACCATTGCGATAATTGTCATCAACTGAAATCCGTCACAAGACCTCACGGATGGTGAACTGAATATTTGGACAACTTACTTGTGTTGCATTTGACTCCCACATCCTCATCATGGCTGCTCTGTCTTGTTCCTGTCCCTGTCTCACAGTCAGTCAAGTTGTATTCCATGCCAGAGCACACAATGTGGTCATAGTGTATAGGGCCACTTCCCTGCCCAAAGTATGCTCCAGTAAGTGGTGAAGCTCCTGTGGTGTTTCAATAGCTATTTTCTTTTCTGACGATGCTCATCCGTTCGTTGGTGAGCTATCTGCTATCGTGATAGTGTATAGCTACTACTTACAAAACCCCTTTTGAATGTACTTGCAATAAAATTGCTGTAAATCTCACCAGGTCTGAAGTATCCCATGGTGCGACTGACAGCCTGTGCATCTTCACTGGTCCAGTCAGAGTCAGTGATAGTGCCCCATGATCCAGCAAAGAATATTTCCACTCGTCCCTCCCACTGATAGGAGCCACCGACCAGACGAATATCACCATCTCTGAACGTAGCTGCCAAGGGCATGAAGAAGCGTAGCAATTGATGTCGCGTTTTATATAGAGCTGTAGGCATCACTGGACACTCACCGGCTGTTGCGCGCAAAAGCACAACTTGTAGAAGAGAGAAGACTACGAAAAACATGTTTCTGTCCTTCACTGAGACGGCATGTACGTATGTGCACCTGGCTTGCTTTTTAGCGGACCGATGCGCACGCGCGACTGCTTCCTGCACGTCCGCGCATGCTCACGCGTATACGTGCAAAAACAGAATGATAGCTAGCTACAACAGAGACATACACCATTCAAAATGTTCAACCACTCACAATAAATCAGTTAAAGTAATCATTTAGGTAGCACTAATGCCAGCATGACGCACTGGTGGAGGAGGTTTTTTCCCTTTACCACCGCTATTTCCTCCGGTGACTTTCTGTGGAGCTGCGTAGCAACTCTCCCTCTCTAGTGTGCTCAACTTCAGTGGCTGGTAAATGCCCGAAGGTTTCGCTGGTGGACTGGATGACAGACTAGCATAGTGAGCATCTTGTGTAGCTGTAGTGCGCTTTGGAATCTCATAGTCTTTCGAGTCTGGTTCATCAGGTATTTTCACGTTAGCTTCTCCTTTGCCTTGAGCAGAATTTTTATAGTAAACTCTATAATAAAATTCTATGGCACGAGACAGATGAAAAAGTTGTGATTTAACTCACCTCATTTTCTTGTGTAATCTTTTTGACCAGAGAATGTAACCAACAAAAGCAATTGACAAAAGAACCAAGCCAACCAAAGCCACTAGAGCCACAATGAGGCCTGTGACATTATCACCACTATCTGTTGCTGTGCTGTTGTCGGACTCAATATTGTTAGCACTGTTACTGCTACTGCTGCAGTCAATCCAGACATCTCCAGAGTGGCTGTCTTCACTGGTGTCTCTGTGATAGGCACAGTCGGTGAGTCTGGCTTCAGTTCCATGGCAGCCAATGTTGTCCATGTATATGGGAGTGGAGAGAGTATTTCTGACAGCATTTGCTGAGTACTGCCCTAAATTGTGGAGCAAAGAAGTAAGTTATATTCATGCAGGACCACTTAGATGAGCATACTAAGGTTTACTGTGCAATAGGTTACAAGTCTGCCTTGTGTTGTAAAATTTGAGCCCCTGCCTGCTGAGCTGCCTTGGTAGCTCAGTAGATCACCTTGCCTAGACTGCAGAGTGTCGTGGGTTCGAATCCTACCCAGGGGCAGCTTTTTTTTCTTCGGATTTGTCCTGGGTTTAGTTGACTTGTGGTTTGCCTTGCAGCCTCTTGATGTTTAGGTATACATCTACCCATTGTCTACCATCCTCCACCCCCTCCATGCACTCTCTGATATACCAGCATTGTTAAATCCAAGTTGTCTGCAGGCAACATGAGTGTCCACATCTGTCCATCCATCTCTATTCACAGTTCCCCATCTCCCACTGAAGCACACCTGCAATAATCCATCATTCTCCGAGTCTCCACCCACCAGTCTAAGATCTCCATCATCACATTCAGCTGTGCAAACCAAAAAAATCAGCAATCAGTAAAGCAGTATAGGTGAAAACAAAGACATACTAGTTTTCATGGGCACTCTATAGCTACTATACTACTCAAGATCTAGATGCAACCCACAATATTGTAAGAATCTTACACTTTTTGCATTTGACTCCAACGTCTTCCAAGTGAACACTGTGTGTAAGGTTTCTTCTGAAGCTGCACTCCAAGAGGCTCATCTCTCTACCAGTACATCTGACAGTCTTTATGAATACTGGCATTGAGTTTGTGGCTGGCCTCACTGAATAGTCATTGCCTAAAATAACAGGGAAACTGAATTTACTGCAAAGCAACACATTATTGGCCATAAACATTTCTTCCTACAGTGGCCTCATATCCGAGGTCATTACAGATGACAGTGGACTCTGTCTGAGTCCACCCATCACCACTGATGGTCCCCCATCTCCTACTGAAGCAAATCTCAACCCTCCCCTCAACATCCGTGGCTCCATCCACCAGCCTCACTTGTCCATCCGTACAGCTTGCTAAGAAAAGAAGTCAACACAACAACAGGCTCTCACATATATAAAATGTTGGGTTAGGTATGTTCAACTTATGAAACAGTTTGTAGAAGTGATACCTGGTTCACATGAAATGTAGGTGAGGTCATAATAAGAGCAACGACTTGGACCACTGCGGCTATAGGTGCAGTCAAATATACGAGACTCATCGCCATGGCAATGCAGTGTTAGGTTTTGAACTGGTATTGCTGCAGTAATCTCTCTTCTATCGTAGTACCCTGGAAGTAAAAAAACAGCAAACACCTAGCTATGGTTTGGTTATGAGTTACCTAGTAGCAATACAGCAAAGTCAGATGTATATCGAAAGTTGTGTTTGAGAGTCACACTCTGCTAACATAAGAGATTACTTACCATCAGTATATCCAAGCTGACGGCACATAGTCTTTGTATTGGCCTCGTTATTGTTCTGGCAAATAGGACCCCACCTTTTGTTGACGCAAACTAAAACAAGTCCTTCTTCGGACACCGTTGTACCTAGTAACCTGACATCACCATCTTCACAGTTTGCTATTAACAGAAAATTATTATTATTATTATCGTAGTCCTCGGTGATAAAAATTAATGTATTGCCTGGTGGACAGATGATTCCAATATCGTCATCATGGCTACACTCAGAAAAGCTGTGGCTGAAGTAAGTGCACTCCCCCAGTGAGTTCTCTGACCCTGAACATCTCACATAGTCAGCAGAAATTGGAAGGGTGGCTGGTATCCGATCGAACGTGTAGTATGTATGATATGACCCTGTAAAGATGTTAGTGTCGAACATGAATATATACTTCTTTATAGAGTCGAGGTGTCCTTTATTTAGAGGTACAGTGTTAAACTGATGTATTGTGATCTCCATGTATAAAGTGCACACCTTCTTCATAGTCATATCCAAGGGAGTGACAGACGACTTTTGAGACGGCCTGAGTCCAGTGTTTGTTGCAGACAGTGCCCCAAACAGAGAACGAGTTGCAAATTTCTAGTCTCCCTTCATTCTCTGACTGACGGCCTGTGAGTCTCACATCTCCATGGGCACAAGAGGCTGAATCTATATTCATGATAAAGAGCAACTTGTGTAGCTATATCTCATAGGAATTAGTTTATATCTGAGAGTAACTGGAGTGTAATCACTTTGGGGCCCAAAGCCCCTCGAGGGGCCTTGCTTTGAGATTGATTACCTCATTGAACAGTGAAGATTCGTTTTCTTTTATTCAGATAGGGTTTTTTGAGTGGTAAAAACACAAATAAGCAATGCAAGAGCATGCAAGGGTCATAATTCCAGAGGGTTAGCTATAGTTAGCTAAATGTTGGGTATTTATTTTGGGTAAAACATGTCACTTATGCTTAATACTTCCAACATTGGTGGGGTTAACAGTCAGCCAATTGGTTACTGGACTTACAAGTACACCTGAGGCTCACAGGAGACCCACTACCTCCAGTGGTGTAGGGACAGTCTATCAGTCTTGACTCAGTCCCCACACACTCGACACTGCTCATGACGACTGGTAAGTGGGTAGTGTAATCAGAATCGGTTGGACTTGTACCTGCAATTTACAGATAATTATATTTGACACTGTAGTTCATGTTTATACAGTCTTTACCATTCCTTCCAAGCTGGCGGCACACAGCATTTGTGTCTTCAATTGTCCACATCATATCAGACACTACTCCCCATCTCCCATTAAGCCATACCTGAAGCAGACCCCTGTAGTAGTAACTATAATAACTGCTGTAGAAGAGCTTCACTTCTCCTTGTTCAGGAACATCTAAAAGGCAAAGTTAAATGTCAATGTATGGTGTTGTATTTTGGACCTGTGTTGTGCCCTGTGGGTATGGGGCAAAGTGACACATAACACTTCTTACAAAGCTTGACCTTCAAACACTGAGCTATACCAGAGGGGCTTAAAGACTGTAATACATGACACAAAGCAAAGGCAGCTATAGTTTCTGTACATGATGGCATAGAAACCAGTCACACATTCATTAAGTAAGAGCATACATGTTATTAACCACTGTATGTATGTACCATTAAGACATGAAACACTCCAATCTTCATTGTGAGCCCATGAACTAGAGACACTGTAACATTCAATCAGTCGGTATTCAGTGCCAGAGCATCTCAAGTAGTTAAGATGTATCGTTCCAACACCTTCTCCAAAATAAGCCAGATAGTAGCTTCTGTCAAAACCATCTACAGATCACAGATATTGTATCATGGGAGGAGTAATCATATGCAGCTATGAAATTTTATAATTATGCTGAAGCATAATTGGGGCTAGGGAGAAAATGGTAGAGTAGCCTTGTTCTGAGTGGCCACAACAACTTGTGCAACAGCTCTCATTCTTGATCTAGCTATGGTCCAAGATGTGACGGTACTACAGCTTCCCCCCACATATATATTGATGTGCAACCCTCATGCCATATAATGGGTAGCTAACTATTTTACACGATATCCCCTATTCACATTGTCCAAACTTGTTACACTCAACCATGTATCCAACCACTCCATGAAGCTCTAACCAACAAAATCACTGACCATCTCACAGTGTGTATCATAATCAAGTTTGTCTGCAAACTACATGAGCATCAACATCCTCGGCGCCATCGTCTGTGATGGTACCCCATTCTCCATCGAGGTATATCTCCACTCTCCCCTCCCAGCTATAGGATCCTCCCACCAGACGAATATCTCCATGCTTGTAGTCGGTACCTATATTATACAGAACAAGTATTCAATATTCGGCACTCTATACCCTTAACTTATTTGGCAAAAGTGTATAATTATTGTTTATTATTTGACTTTCAGTCCCATTCTTTTAGCTTTGTACACAGGCATTCAAAAAACCGACTCCCAATAAACTATTGTGCATGCATGTTTGTCTCAGACTTTTTGTATATACCTTAGTCAAGTTTCAATCCATGACTCCAGTGAACTACAACTTATGATAAGGGTAATGTTGCATGACTCCACACGGAAGAGTGAAACGGTTGGAAGTACCGGTCTAGGACTGGTGTTGTGTGCAAGGCATTATTTTGTGTGTGTAACTATAATTATATGACATGTAGAGACCAGTAACTTGCTGGAGGCCTTAAACATGGGGAAAGTGGCCAGTGGAACAGACATTGTAGTGGCTGACTGCTGCTTAAAATTTGTGTTTTTAAAGAACATAAACTGGGCTGATTCAACATACCATGCCACCTCTACACATTACTGTATGCATATTTGTGTCTTAAAAAGATTAACTCTAAACACGCACCAAAAAGTTTTTTTTAAAGCCATGCCACATGGAATATCTTATTCATTGGTAATTGCATCAACTGTAACCTTTTCCACATTTGACTCCCACGTCATTCTGATGGTTTGATGAGGACCCCATAGACAGGGAACATTGTGTAACATTATCTTCAGATCCGGAGCAGGTGACTGAGGTTATCCTAATGACACCACTGCCTTGACCAAAAGGGGATGACACTGAACCTGGAGTGTGACACACTGACAATTAAGTTTGGTTTTAACATTTGAGCTTACTTTCTGATGCCAGTTTAAGTTGTTTACACACAACTTTAGCTTCTGGCATACCCCAGTTTGTGTCACTGATGGTTCCCCATGTTCCATTCCAGAATATCTCCACTCTACCCTCCCAGTTGTGAGGTCCTCCCACCAGACGAATATTACCATTACGATAATTCTTGTCAACTGGCAGCAAGAACAAGCATAATTGTGCATGTAAGGTGATTGATGGATATAAAGAGCTAACTTGTGTTGCATTTGACTCCCACATCCTCGTCATGGCTGCTCTGTCTTGTTCCTGTCCCTGTCTCACAGTCAGTCAAGTTGTATTCCATGCCAGAGCACACAATGTGGTCATAGTGTATAGGGCCACTTCCTTGCCCAAAGTACGCTCCAGAAACTTCCTTAGCGCCTAGCGGTTTATAAGTATAACAGTATTTGACATTAACAGCAAAGTGATCTCCAAAAGCCAATAGTCATAATTATACTTGGAGATAGCTAGAATTGATGTATAATACCAACTTTGAATGCCCCATCTGTATGCATGTAGATAAAACCCTACACTATCACAATGTTTCTTCGACAATACTCCTGTTTTTAAATTTTCGACATACGGTTTACCGTAAACACAGATACACATAAAGGACTTAGTCCAAAGTTTGGAGCACCTGTGTGTACTGGCTGGCAAAAGACTAGTATTGTAAGATGTGAGTTTGCACTACTCATGGCAAAAGCTGTTGAATTCACCAATAATTAGCTACCCACACCGAACATAATGCAACTTACATATCGTGAAACTTACATCTCCGTGAAATTTATGGTACATACAAAACTGTAAGGTAGGTAGGCAATATAGTATTATGCCACAAAAAGTTATGCAATTTTATAGTCCGATAGGTAGGTCTCACCAGGTCTGAAGTAGCCCAATGTGCGACAGACAGCCTGTGCGTCTTCACTGGTCCAGTCAGAGTCTGTGATAGTGCCCCATGATCTGTTGAAGAATACTTCCACTCGTCCCTCCCACTGATAAGAGCCGCCGACCAGACGCACATCACCATCGTTGAACGTAGCTGCATAAGTGTATATAACATTATACGTATATAGCTAGCTGAAATTCTTACCAGTCACGAAGTTGTGCGTGGTGAAGCTGAATGAGAACAAGAACATGAGAACCAGGTTAGCCATGCTGCCTCTGCCTCAACTCCAACACTACATCTGAAGGACGGACGAAGTGCTTTTATAGGGACCGCGGGTGCGTTTCGCGTCCTTCGCTCTTTCCGTTCTAGCCAGAAGTCGGATTCGCGCGCATGCGCGACGCGCAAGCTTTGCTTCTTCAACCGAATTTTGCGGAATCCTGCTTGTTCAAACTCACTACGGCCATAGTTTTCTGGTGAATATTGTCTGCCAGCCCACTTTCGTCCCGCTCGAGTATGTGCGACATTGCACACTCGCTGCTGTGCGAAATTTAGGCAGCGGGAAATGTATATAGCTATACTAGTGGAAATGTTGAACATTGTTGGCGAGCGGGAGCGACCCAACTTGGGATTTGACCGCGATGTTCGGGCTGATAACGTGCCGTCAGCGCACAGCTTTCTTTTCGTGAAGCAAGACAGATCTACCTGTCGCCGTTACATGCGTAGTTTATATTGCCATACGCTTTCAGCTCGTCAGTCGTGGTCCACCTTGCAACTGGCATGCAGCAGTATGTGCCCTAGCGTATTATGCAAGTTGCAGCTTGGAATCATGAAGGTTGGGAAGAGGTATACAGCTTCGGTCAGTCACCGAGCGCATTCCGTCGAATGGAGGAGAGTTGAAATAATTTCGGATAAAAAGAAGCGCGTACAAATACGCGCATGCGCACTTACACGACGTACCAACGCGCATATTATATACACAGAAAATTCCGCTCGAACGAACGACTAGGTTGGCTCGCTCCCGCTCGCCAATTATCTGTTGCCAGAGATTGTTATCCAAGCCGCTGTAGCCATCGAGAGGTACAGGTACAGTATCGCCATCTAATGTACAAGTTATTCCACGCATGCGCACAAACAATTTGTGTTTAGCCACACCTCCGGCAAATGACTAATTTACAGATGTTAGTAAACAGTGCTATTATAAAAGCACACAATCTCCCAGTGTTTCTATGGGTCATCAGCGGCTATCATTTTGGTTTCATCGGGGCTTTGGTCTGATTTCAGATAATGGACCCTGCACAAACAAAGATTATGATGATCAATGTATAGCTAGATGCACCGTTAAACCCACCTCATACTTTGACGAGCTCCACCTTTTTTCCAAATGAAGTAGACGATGAAACTAATGATAACAGTTGACACGAGAACGAAGCCAACGAAGGCCACTACAGCCAAGATTAGTGCCACATCATTCCCCTCATCCGAGTCAGCTTCACTGCTGCTTTTATCCTTCGACTTGGCATTGTTTCCGCCACTGTCATTTTCATCACCAGGTGTTTTGCTGCAATCCGTGTTACCCTTACACCCATCAGGTCCACTTGTTGTACTAGTGCTACTGCTACAGTCAATCCAGACATCTCCGTAGTGAGTATCTTCACTGGCGTAATCTTCACTATAATCGTCGGTATAATCGATGATGGTTTCCATGTCATAGGCACAGTCAATGAGTCTAGCTTCAGTTCCATAGCAGCCGACATTGTCCATTTGTATTGGAGTGGATATAGACCTTCTTGTGGCCGTTTTAGTAGAATACGTTCCTATTAAAAAGAAAATTCGTATGTTATCAATGTTTTGTGAGACTGTGAAAATATCCTGTGTGCTAGTTGATGTGTGTTTAATAACCAGTATTACCAGTATTGTTAAATCCAAGCTGTCTGCAGGCAACATGAGTGTCCACATCTGTCCATCCATCTCTATTCACAGTTCCCCATCTCCCACTGAAGCACACCTGCAATAACCCATCATTCTCTGAGTCTCCTCCCACCAGTCTCAGATCTCCATCATCACATTCAGCTGTGTACAGAAAGTTTGGTGCACTCAACCATGCCCAAGTCAAAAAAGACAATATAGGACTATAGGTAGCACATCTGACAAAGTGTGTTTGTTTATAAATTGTTACAGTAAATCTGTCGATCATTGAACTCAGTATCTGATCAATTAGGGAGCTAAAACTGTCTGTGTGTGTATGTAAACCTTGCAAAATTTTGCCATGCTCCCATAGAAAATGTAATAGGTTGAGAAAAGGCGTAAGCATAATTATTATGTCACCATTTTATATACACAGTCATTCTTCCGCAAATTTACGCAATAATATGCACGCTATAGGCATTTTTCGATCCGCTAAACTCTCGATGACAAAACATGCAATCGCTTACAACTTACACTTGCATCTAACTGCAACGTCTTTGACGTGGTTAAGGACTATAGGAGCCCTTCGGTAGCCGCACTCCAGGAGACTTAGTTCTTTACCAGTGCATCTGACACCCTTCAACAACACTGGCATTGAGTTTGGAGCTGGTCTCAGTGAATAGTCCTTGTCTGCATAATGTGTGTATAGGAAAGTGGGTAAAATTTTTTATTTTAGCCCACAGCACTTGGTTATTTGCAAGCAACCTTACCAGTGGCCTCATATCCGAGGTCATTACAGACGACAGTGGACTCTGCCTGAGTCCACCCATCACCACTGATGGTCCCCCATCTCCTACTGAAGCAAATCTCAACCCTCCCCTCCACATCCGTGGCTCCATCCACCAGTCTCACTTGCCCATCAGTACAGTATGCTGCATGTGATAGGCTTCATTTACAATACTTTTACAAAAACATGAGGAAGCACATGTATGAAGGAAAAATATATACGCACCATTCTTGCAGTCAATACTTATGTGCGAATAGCAGCTTGATGGAATACTGTTGTCAAAGGGACAATCAGAGATTCGGGACTCATCACCAGAGCATTGCAATGTTATGTTTTGCACTGGCATCGAGATCAAACCTTCTCCCCCATATCCTGCAGGGGAGAACATTGATATTAGGTATAATTATATATAGTACAAATTTTACCATTATGTTTAGTTGTGTATATCATAATAGTACTGTAACTAGTTTAAATTTCATGTTTTATAGCCCATACCAGTATGTCAATAATATTATGTAGGAAAAATCATAGCACATTAATAGACACCACTTGGTAGGCCTATTTTGCCTGCCGGCATTGAGAGAAGATTATTATTATACTCACCTCCATTATATCCAAACTGGTTGCAGAGAGTTTTTGAATTACCCTGTCTGTTGTTGGAACATATTGGGCCCCATCTTTTGTTTATGCACACTAGAACATACTGCCTTTTTTCATAATCATATCTTCCTAAATACTCAAACAGTCTTACATCTCCATCAATACAATCATCTATGAGAGATAATGATAGTCATTCATTAAGATGAATGGATGCAATATTCATACCTGCTTGACAGCGGACTCCCACATCATCGCTATGACCACATTCTGAGTAGCTGTGGCTGAAGTGGACGCAATCCTTCAGCGAATTCTCTGAGCCTTGACACTTGACAAAATCCACAGCAATAGGAACTGTTGGCGTCTTTTTAAACGTGCTAGAGACTTGGTACGTTCCTGTGTTAAAGGTAAATTATTACAAAGACTCTGTGAATAGCTACATAGCTAACTCTTATAGCAAATTAACCTTCTTCAACACTGTAGCCAAGAGAGGAACAAACAACTCTGGAGTTGGCCTCAGTCCACTGGTTGCCACACACAGTGCCCCACATGGAGCGAGGGTTACACATTTCAACTCTCCCCTCCAGTTCCGTACTGCCACCAGTCAGTCTTATATCACCATAACTGCAAGGATCTAGGTTATAAAAGGAAAATAAGACACACCTTCACATCTATGAAGTTTTCAACCATACCTAGACACACAAAGTATCTTCAAACTTTTTGTTAGGATTATG